GGAGGTGGGAAGCAAGGGAAGGGGGAAGAAGGGAGGTAAGTCTGGCTGGACGTGCCTGGGCGCCAGATGGCTATCTTTAGACGTGGCGTCCTCTGAGCTCTGACCTCACTGGGACCCCGATGCCCATGTCTGTGGGGGGTGTGGGCCTTCGAGCCCCCCGGCAGGCCTGCCCTTCCCTTTGGCTGGAGGCCACTGCCGAGCAGGCCGAGGGTGGAGAGGAAGGCCTGCCCAGCAGCAGGAAAGCAGGTGGGTGGGAGCCCTTGGGAGGGAGGAGGGGCCGGGGTGGGAGGTGAGGAGCTGAGGGTGACACCTGTGGGTGCGGCTTCCTGGGGAGCTGCCCCCTCCAGGAAGCAGGTGGGTGGGAGGCCGAGTGGACGCCCCCTTCTGTCCCCAGATGGCAGGTGGGGATTAAAACCGCCGTGTTCAGCTGTATCAGTACCTCCCACTCGCATCTGGGGACACAGGCAAACCCAGCCCCACCAGACCCAAGGGGCTTTGGGTGGTGGCGCCGAAACCTGCCCTGAGAGGACCGCGCACACTGGCACCCTGGAACAGCAGCAAGCTAGCTGGTGGCCAGCGCGGGACAAGGTGTCCCCAAGAGCTGTGTGTTCCCCCGGGAGCTGCCCCAGGCAGTGGGGAAATCCGCCGTTCCCCATAGGCCGCCCCGGGTCAGGGGGCCAAGCCTGAAATGCTGCTACTAGGGTTTCAGCCGGGGCCTGGGACCACCACTCATACCTGGGCAAATGTCCACGCCAGCTAGGGTGGAAGAGTGGGGAAGGTTCCCCGGGAGGTGGAAGGGTGGACGAAGGCGCTACTGAGAAATGGGGGAGACTCGAGACTTGAGATGCTTCACCGCCCACTTGGTGACTCTCCNGGGTTCCCCGGGAGATGGAAGGGTGGACGAAGGCGCTACTGAGAAATGGGGGAGACTCGAGACTTGAGATGCTTCACCGCCCACTTGGTGACTCTCCCCAGGGCCTGCCCCGAGAGGAAGAGAAAGGAAAATTTCTAGGGGAGACACGGGTATAGAGTAGCCTGGTAATAGGCTGCAACCTGGGGTATACAGGGGCCTCCTGGGATAGGCAATTGGTGTCTGTCCAAGCTCTGAGCCCCAAATCACAGGAGATCCCTTAAATCCCAAGGCCCCAGCCTACACCGTCACTGAGGAGAGAGTGGAGGGGCTCCCCAGCTGGTGGCAGAAAGAACCCGAGGCCCCAGCCAGCCCCTCCTATTCCTGAGGTCCCATCTCTATCCCCCCAATAACAACCCTCATGTAGTTCACCTTTTTGGATACCTGGAGCTCACCTTTCACAGCTGTCAGCTGTGTAAATGAAGATGGGGGAGTTGTCAGAGGAGAGTCAGGGTTAGGAGGAGTCTGTCCTACAGAGACGTGAGAAGAGGGGCCTGTCTCTGAGGTCAGAGTGGAGAGTGGACTGGATTGACCATGGCAAGGACTTGGCACTCTGATGTCCTCAGCAAGAGCTACCAGCTGTTTGAGAACTGTGCTGAGGGCTGTATGTGGCTTCACTCCTTTAATCTTCACAATAACCCCTGGGTAAGTTCCATGATTAGCCCTTTATACAGATGAGAAAACTGAGGCCTCAAGAGCTTAATTACTTGCTCAAGATCACACAGTTGGTAGGTGTCAGGAACCAGGATCTAAACTCTTTTTACAGATTAGGAAACCAAGGCTCAGGGAGGGGGAGTGATTTCCCTGAGCTCACACAGCTGGAGGGACAGGAATCCTGGCCCAGGCTGTTGGCCTCTGGAGCCCACATTGTCTCCATCTGCTCTTGTTGGGAGAAAGGACCCAGGAGAAAGTAAAGAGTCAGTTCGACGGGAGCTTGGGAAAGCAGGAAGCAATTTTGAAGGGGAAAAATTGACATACTCTGGGAAAAAAACCCTCATTCAACCCCTTCTCACTCCCCAAATTACATCTATACACACAAAAAGTACCCCACAGCATTGCTTAGAATAGTGAACATTTGGAAACTCAAAGAAATGATCAAGCAAAGTTTTCTGTACAACTGTGATGGAATATTATGAACCAGCCCCAAAGGACAGTTATAAAGACCATGTGGCAACATGGGAAAAACTTAGGGCAGAACACAGGTAAACGCCCTTTGACCCAGGAATCCCTTTCTTGGAAATTAAATATGAAAAAGATTTTTTTTCTTTCCTTTTAACAGAGATGCTTGCCATGACCTTCGTCATGTTAAAGTGTCATCAGAATCTTCCTTCTACCCAAATCACAGAGAACACGCAGGTGTGGGGACCGCGGTTTCCAAGCCAACCCAGGGCAGGGCTGTTCCCTCTCATTCGTTGAGCAATATGTCACTCAAAGTCTTACATAAACCTGTCCATATAGTTCTACATTAACAATACGGTTTTACTGAAAAGAGAATTAAAATGCAAGAGAATGAAATGACATGAGACTAGAAGATACAAGCTATGCATTTCCTAAATATAGTTTTAAATCCAGAAACGTATTTGTACCAGCCCTCACACTGTCCCATCAGTTAACCTAGAAGCTCCTGCACAGAGATCCTGGATTCTGGCCACAGGGGCCTGTCCTGGACACCGCGGGCTCTCAGTCCCCGCACCCATTTCGGGCTCTCCGGGGTGAGGGGCACTGCAGGTCACAAACCTGGGGGCATGCTCCTCTGCTCAGCTCTTCTCCTTCCTGTCTGCCCACCCTCCAGACCCCCCCTCCTTGGGGCTCCACATGGTACTTACTCAGCCGCCTCAAGTACAAAACGGCATCTTCGTACCCTCGGTAGTAGTAATTGTGTAGCACCTGCAAGGTGGGCACACCAGGAAGAAAATCAGGCTGCAGCGACAGCGACTCCGCGGTCCCCTCACCCCGAGCAGCTGCTTTCGCCGCTCTGGAGCTTTATTTATGGGCTCTTCAAAACGTGCCCGTCCAGAGTCCCATCCATGACTGTCTGCTAAGGACTGGGAGCGGTGCCTGGCCGTGTGTCCACAGTGACGCCGCGGGAGTGTGGCAAACCACTCACAGCTGCCCGCCAACGTCCCCTGGGCGGGAGGCGCTGAGGGGGTGACTGCGGAAGCAGAGGACGTGCGTGTGGACCATATGAAGGGCGAGGGTTGGAGACTGGGCTCAAACCCAGTGCTGCCACTTACTGGCTGTGTGGCTGTGTGGCTGTAACCTCTCACAGCCTCAGTTTCTTCATCTGTAAAATGGGGGTAATAATAGTATCTATGGCAGGCGATGCTGAAGGATCACACGAGGTGTTGCCCGCAAAGCCTTTTCCATAAAGGGCCAGGTAGTAACTCTTTGGGGTTTTGCAGGCCACATATAGTCTCTGTCATTTCTTCCTCTTCTTCTTCTTCTTTTTTTTTTTTTACGGCCCTTTGTTTTTTTTATTTTATTTTTCCTTTTTACTAAATCTAATAAGGTGACACTGGTTAACAAAACTGTGCACAGGTTTCAGGTGCACAATTCTATAACGTCATCTGTACGCTGCATTGTGTGCTCACCACTCCATTTTACAGCCCTTTAGAAATGGAGAGCCCACTCTCAGCTCACAGATTGCACAAAAACACTCCCGGGCCGTAGTTTGCTGACCTGACACTGCACATCAGAGTGGAAGGGTTCAGTTAACATCCCATCAGCCATTCTGACTGCCCGTTTTACAGGGGAGAAAATTGAGGCTGGGAGCCCTGGGGGGACTTGCTCAGGTCACATAGCTCGTTTGTGAAAAGGCCAGGACACAGGTCTAGGAGGAAGTTTAAGGGACCATTTGAGGGGAGGAGACAGGGGAACTGAGTGGGCCCCATTAGCTTCCCCACTGCACCCCAGCCCCTGCCACCATCCCCCTCCCCTCCCACTCCAGGCCCCTTCTCTCACCATCAGGTCTGGGGGGAACAGGGCATGGGTCATCCTGGCGATGTTCTCCAGGGAGAACTGGAAGGAGCAGTTGAACATGCGGAAGTCGTGGAAGATGGCAGGGCAGTCCCGGGGACAGATGTCCTGCTGCCCGCTGAAGGTGGAGATGGTGATGGCGTCGGTCCAGAAGGAGCAGGGCTGCATGCCCGTGAAGCCCCCGTCGATGTACCGCTGTGGGGGGCAAAGCGAGAAGTGCTCGCCTGCGTCAGAGGTCCCCTCCCCACCCAGGGACTACACCAAGGACAAGCCTTGACAGTGAGGTCTGGGGGCTGAGTGGGGTGCCTGAGATCACGGTGGCCTCTGGACTCCAGCCTGGGGCTCTGTCCCTGCAGGGCTCCCCTAAGTACTGGTGCTGAGATGAGGCTCCCAGGCCTCTGTGGGGAAGGGCGTCCATACACTGGCTAAAGCAGGAGCAAATGCTCCCTGTCACAGCTACTCCTCCCAGGCTGCCCCTCCACTGCTGAGGGCAGGACTGGGGAATGGAGCTGTCCCCATGGCCTTTTGAGGAGCACACATGGTGGGCCTCAGCAGGTTGTGAAATAGCCGATCTCCAGACCACCTTGGGTCCCCACCGCCTCCCTCTGTTGAGGTCAAGCACCCCTGACACTCTCCGGAGCACCTGTGAACAGCCACCACGACCACCCTCCAGTTCCTTCCCCTCTGGGGTTTCTGTTTCCTCAGCTGTGAACAAAGGACCACAAATGCTGAGGCCCTGACTCTGGGGTAACTGAGAAGCACACAGGCGACACACGAGCTGGGCTCCATCTACTAGCAGGGTCCTACCTGGGTCTCATTGTCTCTGTATATGAAACGAGGAGGGGCGTGCGTCAGACCCTCTTACTTTGAGTGTGGTCCCGGACCAGCAGCACTGGCGGCCACTAAGGCCTGTTAGAGGTGCAGCCTCAGGCCCTGCCCTATATCTGGGGCAGAATCTGCATTATTTTTCAAGACCCCTGAGTGATTCATGGGCACATGGAAGTTTGGGGGGCACTAGCCTAGATGACCTCAAAGGTCCCCATCGTTCAAGGTTCCAGGTCCCAATGGTGCAGGGTCTACATCTATGCTTTCTGTTGAGTCTGGGAAAATCTGGAAAGCCTGTGGCCCCTTGATTTGCCCGGCTCAGTAATCAACTGGTACGTCCAGAGAGAAGCCCAACCCAGTTGGGAAAGTTCATCTTAAAGCCCCAGAAATCCATGTATGCTGGGAATTCTGAGTAGAAAAACATAAGAACCTTTCTGACTCCTGATCTTCCCACTGAATTCTGAGACCACCCCTCTGCTCCCCCAGATGCAGGTCACAGGGGCCCCGGGCACCCCTGGGTCCTGGCTCACCCCTTCCCACACCGAAGCACTCACCACTCCGCGGTAAGTGGGAGGGATGAGACCACAGTACACGGGCACAAAGCAGCTGCAGTACAGGGCCTGTGGGGGGAGAACAGGGCTGAGATGCCTGAGGCTGTGGGTACTGGGGAGGGGGGAGGGGCACCGGGGGGCCTCTGGGACACAGCCAGCCTCGCCTCCCTTAAACTCAAGGTGGAGGCACTGCCTCCCTCCCAAGTTCAGTCCATGTCCTGGCCCTGACTAGCTGGGTCCTTGGTAACCAGCTTGGTCAGTCTGGGCCTGATGTCCCAGCTTTAAAGGGAGAGGGTGACCTCAGTGATGTCCAGGGTCCCTTCTAGCACCAAATTTCCATCAATCCAATGGGATTCGACAACTGTCGATGTGTCTCTGGCTTGGTCCAGGCCCTGGCATCAAGGAGGGTGAGATGCCCACCCTCAGAAGTGCTGAAAGAGGGAGAGCAAGCAAGTAAGTGACAGTACAGGGGTGACAGGTGCTGTGATGGAGGTGAGCAAGGGCACTGTGGCACCCAACCAAGGAGTGTGTGGGGCGGGCGGATGAAGGGACATTCCCTGGGGGGAGTGACTGGAGTCTTCTCAAGCAGGTGCAGGGCAGTGAGGAGAGAAGGGCCTCCGGGCAGAGGGCCCAACAGGTGCAAAGGCACAAAGGGCTGCTCTGTGTGTGGTTTGCTCTGGTTGGCGTGGGTGGGAGTGGGAGGTGGTGGAAAAAGCCTGGAGAGAAAGGTCTTGAAGAGCTGGTGCCAACAAACCCTGGCGGGCGTGAGGTGAGTGGAGGAAGTATCCATGCCCGTTGCCTGTTCACCCTCCACCCCCAGGATCGTGGCCAGGCCGGTGTGGGGATGTGAGGATGGGAGGCAAGGGCCTTGTATTCAGGGGAGGGGAGGGGTCATGCAGCTTAACCCCGCTGTCATGAAAGAAAATTGGGTACATCCCCACACTCCCCAGCAATAGTAACTCACAGCTAAAGGTTATATTAATGACACCAGAACAGTAAGAGCGAACTTCATAGGTGATACCCATTTAGTGATGATTCAATCCTTTCGTCAAGGGCCATTGGAAGAGAGGGCAGAGAGGAGGGCTGTTCCCACAAACTGGGAGTAATGCAAGGGGGACACCCTGCAGCTCAGCCTGGAGGCCCAAGAGGAGACACAGCACCGTTTCTGGTAACACTCAGGATTAGCACCAGGGCAGCGCAGAGGCCTAAGGAGGGGCTGGGCCGTGGGGACTCTGGGTGCTGAAGCCTAGAGGATGGTGACCAAGTGGGATTTGTCTTGGACTTCTCTCTGTTCGCCTCCTCGAACAGTGGGCCTGACAAAGAGATGCGGGAGGGCGGACAGGGAAGGGCTAGAGCAGCAGAGAAGGGAAGGCAGGCAGCCGGCCATCCCAGGGCCATCAGGAGAAGCAGGACAGGACCCCCAGACTCCACCGCCCTGCCCCCACCCAGGCCC